TGAACCAGCAATTGAAGGTCCTAGATTTGCATCCCGCGCTCCGGGACAGCCTATTCAGTGCTTGTTGATACATTTATGTGTGCTACCTATGTAGTTAGTGGAAACAAGTCATTTTTTGGGTAGCCTTGTGCATGAGCAACTGCCAACGTCCACAATTTCCACGTCTTCGCTCCCCAGCCAGTACGAAGGCGATCTTGGATATCCTTAACTTCTAAGGAGACAGCCGAAATCCCCTTCACTTGGGAAAATACCGCGCATCCTACCACGCATAGGTTTCCATGGTATAGCTGTGCACGTCCTCTTTGTTTGTGATGGTCAAATAAATTTTCAAAAGAAAGAAGAAGAGGAACGGCAAATAGTGACGCTAAGTCGTTAGGAAGCAAGTTCAGGGCCAAGCGTGATTTGAATAAAAACTGATAAGCAGGGTGGACACATAGCAATAAAGCATATGAGGGATTGTATTTCCTCGTCTAGCAAAAAGAGCCACCTCATAAAAGTAGAAAGGAGTTGAGAAACATCCTCATGAATAAAAGAAAGGAAAGGCAGTGCAGTATGTGTTCGTAGTAACGCGGTTAGCGTGATCATGCTTCAAAAGAAAAACGTTTTTGAAAAAAGTAACACCACAAAATGGAGGACAGAAAAGTGCACCGCAAAATCGTAAAATATTGAGATGGAACTCTAAGATGAACCGAAAAAAAATAATGTCTACACTTACGTTTCGTATAGCTTCAACTCGTGGACATACTTCAAGGTACTGGTCGAAAATCCGCTTCAAAAACATCACTCTAAGAGCATAAGGAATCTTCTGATTTGTGGGATCACGAAGTTTTGGGACTGCAATATCAGTGACCTGAAAATATACAAACTCGAATCAAATCAAAGATATACGATAGCTAGCTACCACTACTGACGACCGAGCGGTTCTTGCCTCTCCTTTAGCCACAGAGCCAATGGTACTTGCTCGATGATGACCATACATCTGCTCCTGCGTGACCGGCTTCTAAAATAGGTGTGCTATGTAAGGTACAATGCAGATTAGGACAAAATTGCAAACAAACCAAGATAGCAGCCATAGTAAACTGGTCAATTTCCAGACAAATGGATATTGAATAACTTTAGGAAGTTCGTCAACAAAGTGTGAGTACACTCATATGTATGAGAATGCGAAACGTTGGGGTGCCAATAACTACGATACGCTGAGTCATCATTCAGTTCAGCTTGCACTTACG